GAATATACAAGTTATGAATAATTAAGATGAAATAGACAGTCGACTGAGTAACTCTGCCTCAAATCCACAACCAAACAAGGAACAGGAATTAAGGCGGAATCACTCACTCTAAGTCTACAAAATCTTAGCTATGCACAACCCTGATGTACATACTAAGCCATCATAGCTTCTCTGAACGTATCTTTTAGTTCTCTTAAATACTGTGACTTGTTTCAATAAGTGAGTTATTATAATTACTTTTAAGTGTTTTCCCCAAGTTTTAATCTTATATATATAAATTAATTTTTAAAGTAATTCTTATTTTAATTCGAAAACGTATCGCTGCTCCCTGGCGACTTCGGGGTTGATTCTCCTGCGGTGATCATCAGAATTCGTCCATCTGCTCCTGAGTTCTTTGTTATCGGGCAGTCCCTCTGGTAAACTAGTGTTCCTAACATGTACTATGCATAGGGAAGGAGTACTTACGATTTGGAGGCTCAAGAGGGTTCACAATCACCAAGAACAAGTGGGTGTTCTTTTGTTCTTGGTGAAATGGATGAAGATTTGAATATCTACTACCCAAAGATGATTTGCAATGGATGAAATCAATGGTGTTACTAGGGTTAAGAAGAATAACAACAAATCAAAACGGAAGAAAGGCTTACATTCTTGAAGATCGGGTGAAAAGCTTGATGATAGTTGAGAGAAAACTCGAGTTCTTGACTTGGAAACTGAAGAAATGACTCAGGAATGAAGGGATATCACTCTTATGGAGGGGATGTACGGCCAACATGGGTGTACGGCCGCACACACACATGTGTACGGCCGTACACTCATGTGTACGGCCGTACACTCCCTCTAATGGAGTGTTCGGCTCGATTTCAACGCGAAGAACTTACGCAACTCAATCCTATACCCAATGCTTATATGTACTGAGCGTTGAACCCTTAAACGGACTCTAAATAAGGCTAAAAGATAGCAGAAACGAGTCTGACACTCGGTTGGATTGAATGGCTGAACTTACAAGGCAAAGATTTTCGGGTTGTCACAGCCGGCCTTGGTGCCTTAGACCCATGGGTATGGTGAGAAGACTCACATTTCCAAGGCGGAACTGGCACACTGAAGTCAGATATATCCCACGCTGCTCCTCCCAAACTGCCTATAATCATTGAGTAAATAACTCAGCATAATCCCATAAATACCCCCAGGGTCAACCTTGGTCAAAATCAGGGTCTATAGTCAAGGTCAACAGTCCATATTGACCTTGACTTGACGAGTACAATCAGTCACTCGTCGGGTCCCTGCTTAACTCATCGACTCGCCGAGTCACCAGAGGGACTCGTCGAGTTCCTTGATGTTCACGGCCGTAAACCACCAACTGAACACCCTTTATCGTAAACCCTTGGCCGTAAACCCTTGGTCGTGAACCCTTTCCAGTGGGACTCGGGGTCCCAAACTTCAGATCTATCCTCTACTAGTGCAGTTAACACGTAAAGTTGCAAACTTTACATGCATGCAAGGCCTCTCATGGCCATAATACTTAAAAGAAATTTAAGGATCTTAAGCTGAAAGTGACAGATTGATACCTCAAACGAACGCCCAACACGAAATAGACGCTTGATGTAGTGCTTTTCCTCTTGGTACTTCCTCTTCAAGCTTGGAATTCTCCCCAAAATCCCAAAGAGCCCCCCAAATGCACTCACTTCACACCTTCGAGAGTTTGCGGCCGTAAACGGTCTTTTATCGTGATAAGGGAGGCCACAAGGGTTTATAATGATGTTTATATAGGGGCAAACCCCAAAATTTAGGGTTTTCTTTAAACCGCTCGGACTCGTCGAGTCGGTCCCGTCCCGCGTTCCATGATACCACGACCCTACTCGACGAGTTGATCTCCCAACTCGCCGAGTCCATGCATAAAACCTTTCCAAATCAAACCAGGTGTTACACTTTTCAACCTCAGTAGTAGACTATGAAATAACACTTACTACTATGAAATAACACCTTAGTGTTTCGATGAACAAGAGATAAGGTTGTCGGCGAGAAAGATATAGTACCTTGAACTGGAACGTTAGGTGGAATGGAAGGCCATCCCCCTATTCATCATAAGAGTATTCTATGAGAACCGTAGGCAAGGAGACATGAAGCTAAACATTGTCACTAATGCATAATGTGTTTTTAAGGGCATGAAGGTGTGACTCGCAAGGATCGTCTATGTAAGTACATATATTAGACCTCAAAAGAGATGTATGGACAAGTGAAGGTAAGATATAGCAATGCATGGGAAATGATAATATAAATTAAGATCTACCAATTGAGGACTAGTTGAGTCTGGCTTGTAGATAGATTTGACATGTATTGGGCAAGGTTTGCAGTTTAGCATATGAGCATGCTCGAGTATCTCAGTGGAACACTTCTACTGACAAAGGAACAGGTTATGGGAGGTTCGTACTACTAAGATCCCCAAAATTAATTCAGAGCGCCAAGGTTTGTCATAGCAAACTAAAGACCTAGAAGAGAGATAAATTGTTGAAGACATAGACGCAGGGGATGATCTCATCCGTATACTATAGAAGATAAGGTGTATATTGACAAGAGAGGTATATGAAGATGGACGAGTTTATTCCATAAGTAAAATGTCAAGGAGTAAGGTGAAGTCTCTTTTAATAGGTCGTATATCTCTCTTGAAAGGAAGTTTGGTCACTTTTGGAGTCTATTATTTCTCCATAGTTAGTTCTTAATTTGTTGGATAGATTATGTTGTCACCTATTTGGGGAACAGGAGATTGGCAACGTGAAACGTGTTGGATCAAGTAGCACAAAGTCATAGCTTTAAAGGAAGAAAGTGGATTAGGTATTGGTTATAGCTTATTTCCAACCAATCACGCTATATTGTATAACTAGACTATGGAGATTCCTTTTTGAGCCATATCCCCTTTGGTCCTAGGTTATTAAGTTAATTCACACTATTTATGGATGTATTGGTTCCAAGTTTTATTTTTCTAACGATGTTAGTATAAATATAAATAATATGAATTTAACACCTAGCTGAAATTGTGACCAACAATCATCGATAAAGAAATCCTGATTATTTGTTTGCATACACTTAACTGTTTCAATCATAAGCAAAAAGTTAAAAACATAACATCAAAAAAAACCAACTAGACCCAAAAATCCAAAACAAAAATCATCATGATTCACTGAAACCATTCAGACCAATTAACGTGTTTTTTGTATTCATCTCATTTGCACAATCCCAGCACTTATCAGCTTCTGAATCTTGTTCATCACTGAAGGATTCTTCATGTGATCTTGTGCTGCTTTTGGATTCTCTTGAAGATCCTTAAGCACCTGCCCAAATAAAAACCAAACCCCAAGTCAACACAAAGTCAAACCATCAAAAACTAACTAAAATTTATGACAATTTAAAAAAAAAAAAAAAAAAAATAAAAAAAAAAAGGTGTATACCTGTGCCATCACTGGATCAGTAAGAATGTTCTGAATTTCCGGATCTTGCATAGCCTTTGCCTGTAACACAAGAGTTATTTACAGTTTCAGTACCTTGAGAAATACCAATTGACCAATAATAGTCATTCTTATGGATTTAACTAAAATAACAGAAAGTAACCACACATTTTTCTTTTCAACCATTTATTTTGCAAAATTGTTTCATTTTTTCGAAAAGTAAATTTGCCAATTCCTTCATATTTTAAAGGATATGAATAGAATTTTGTGAACTTACTTCACATTTTTGAACAATCAAATTCGTTTTTTAATTCAAATTTTTGACAAAATAGGGGATTTATAAAGGGAAATTCACATAAAAACCCATATTTTTTTTCAAATAAAAACAGTTTTTACCCAAAAACCACTTTTAGGTGCTTTATAAACCGAACTTTTTAGATTTTTTTTCTACTTTTAGAAGTATAAATTAGTAAAAATAAACATTTATACTTCTAAAAAGGTATTTAAGTTCTAAGAAATATATTAATACTTCTAAAAACAATTTTTTACATTTTAAACAGTATAAATAGACAAAAACAACATATATGAAGAAACATCATTTGTATTTAAAAAAAACATAAATATGATATTTAATCAAACGATTTATAAAAACTTTTTTTTGTGTATAAATACATTTTTCGTGCATAAACACACATAATATGAAAATAAAAATACTTAGGGTAACCTCAAAACCTATGATAAGAGGTAAAAAGGGTAAAGGTCGAATAAATCTTGAAAAATTCCAGTTATAATGCACCTAAAAGTAATTTTAGACTAAAATCATAATTTTTTTTAAAAGACTTGAGGGTTTTTATGTCCCTTTCCCATTTATAATATAAATTTATTAATTCAACTAAATGGTTGCTAATTTAGATAACCCAAGGACTAAAAATGTTAAGAAACAGTAAAATAGTGACAAAAACTACAGAAAAAAATATTCCTATTGGACCATATCGTAAAGAATGATATAACACAGGGACCAAAACTGTAAATAAGAAACAAACCTGTCTCTCTTTTAGCTCATCAGGTGTGAGATCTCCACGGCTAGCTCTGTTAATTTGTTGAACACAGCTGAAAGTAACAATAATCATTCACAGGTAAATAAATAGGAACAAAACAAATAAATAAATAAAAATTGTGATTATTTATTTATTTGTATATAAATAAATAAGTAAATAAATAAATACCTCCTGACACCCTCTAGCAACTCTGGGTTTTTAGGATCATGTTTTAATCCCTCTTCATATGTCTCTAAAGCTTTATCAAATTCCTTCATGAAAAACTGAATTGCACCTTTCCTTGTATACCCCTTTGAGAATTTTGGATCAATTTCAATGCATTTTTCTGCATCTTTTAGACCTTCTGGCATTGCTCCAAGTTTTGTGTAACAAGCAGCCCTGTTACTATATGCCTATAAAATGGAAATTATTTACATTTCTTTACCAAAAATATTCAATTTGTCAAAAGAAATTAGCAAATGTTTCACAAGTTTCAAGTTATATATTGGTAAGAAGAGTATAAACCCTGGAAATTCATCCAAAAGAAACCATTACCTTTGCATCTTTGGGATTTCTTCTCAAAGCTTCTGTGTAGTGCTTAATAGCATCTGGATATTTCTGCTCTTTGAAGCATTCATTTCCTAATATAGATGTGTAAGAAATTGATTTGGTGAACAAAATAGGTTAATAGCAGGAGAATTGTGTTTCTTTAGGGATAAAACTAAAGTATATTGTATAACAAGCTGACCTTTTTCACGTTCTTTTTCAGCAAGTTCAGGATCATAATACTCTTGTTGTTCTAGTTCTTTCTTTGCTCTTTCTGCATCATTGAGTTTCTTCAATGTATCAGGGTTACGATGTTCTGTAAGAGCTTTTTGGAAGGTTTCGATTGCAGGATCATAATCTTTGGAGACTTTGGCCATTTTAACCAAAGCAGTTCCTTTTCTTGTTAATGCCCTTGCAACCATTTTGTAATCTGAACGAAGCTCTCTTCCTCTCTCCACTGCCTTTTCACAATCTTTGATGCATTCATCATACTGTAAGATTATAATGACTCAAGAGTTATACTGAAGTGGTTGTAGAATACCAATGTTATAATCAGTTAATCTATTTAGAATATGAACTCCTATAAGGAATCCTATGATAGATAATCAAGAAGCCTACATATGAAACCCTACAATAGTCAAAAACACAGCTGCCTGTACCCAAAGGCTAATGTTTAACAAGACAAAACAACCACAAAGTGGGTGTCCATGAAGATACAACAAAACACTATTCCATCATGTGAAGGATGGGGTATGTCAAAAACACGTGGGTAACACTTTATTGAAATTCTAATCCAAATTAAACTGCTAATGAAAATTCCCTATATGGATTTTCTGAAGACATTTTTTATTTTGATGTGAGTTCTAATTAAATTGATGTGTTTCCACAAAGCTTCTCAACTTTGTCATTGTTGAGGAACAGCTTGGGTTAATTGATTGTTAGCATAGAACACTGCTAGTTCAATCAATATAGAACTAGGCTACAAGCATTCATACCACATAAATTCAAAGTTCCAACCTTCAGCTTTCAGGCATATCTAGTTGATGTTTTCATAAGAAATTTATTGTTATGTTGACGATGAACTAGATGTTAACTAGATAAAAACATGTGCATACCTTTGCCATTTCCAAGTACACTGCAGCGCGATTTGTAAGGAACGAAATATCGGCATCATCCAGTTCAATGGCCTTTGAATAATGTGCGATCGCTGTCTCAAAATCTTTCTTCTTGTAGGCAGCATTACCGGCCTCTTTCTCCTTTTGCGCCTGTGCTTTCTTCTCTTTAATCTCCTTCTCCTCGTCGTTTACTTCCATCGGTTCTGGCTCAGGTTCCGGCTCACGCTTCTTCTCCTTCACCGACTCTGTTTCATCAGCAGGACGTTTCCTCTCCTTAGGTGGAGAATCCGGCATCTCCATATCATCTCCAGGCATATGAGTTTGCATCTTAATGTTCAACAACACACTAAGCGCTTGCATAACTCTCTGATCCTTCAAGTACAAATTCAAATTGCTAGGGTTTTTCTGAAGATCCTTCATCATGTTAACAAAATCGGGCTGTTGCATATACAATCGTGTAGCCGGATCAGCCGTTAGCTTCGCCCACATATCCGGTCCAAACGCATCTCCAAACAGGTTATTCGGCGGTGCGCGTGACCGAGAAGAGGCTGACGCAGCCGCCTGAGCTGACTGAGCGTCCGCGAGTCCAGATTCCAAAGTTTCATTATTAGGATCAACTTCAAGCCCTCTCTTATAAGCCGAAACTGCATCATCAAATTGATGCAAGCCATGATGAGCCGCGCCGAGACGTGAGTAGCCTTTAGACCAGTCGGGTTTCAGATCGACAGTCTTTTGAGCATCAGTGAGAGCTTCGGAATATTGATTCAGGGAGGCATAAGCGGCAGATCGGTTGGAATAAAGGACGTGGTTGGTAGGGGCGAGGTTGATGGCGTCAGTGAAGTGACGGATAGCTTCATTATAGTTTCCGGCAGAGAAAGCAGCGTTACCTTTGGCCTTGGCTTCGTCGGCCATGTCTTAACGTCGACGGCGGTGTATGATGAGTGTTTGTAATTTGCTCTCGTCGGAAAACTTGACTTCGATTTAGCCGATTAAGATAGAGAAATTAGGGTTTTTATAAGCTAACCAGAGAGGTCGATGAAGAGAAGTTCTGGATGGTTCTAGCCACCATCATTAGATAATAAATATATATAATTAAATAAAAATAACACTAAGCTACGAATTCCGTACGTATTGTAGTTTAATTTTTATTTTAAATTATATTATTTTGATAGACAATTAAACTATGGGGGGGTGGGGGGGGGGGAGGGTTTGCAAAAATAGTTTTTTACCTGGAAATTGGTAGCGAAAAGTGGGTAGCTGGTAGCGGGTGATCGGTAACAAGAAGTTGTAGCTTTAGAGCATGTTCGACACGGAGCGTTTGAGAGCTTCTAGCTTCTAGCGTTTGACAAAACGTTCCATTTTGAACAAAAAGTCTCGTTCGGCACTACAAGCTTCTAGCGTTTAGTTTTAAGAAAACTCTTCAAATCCAAATTCTACTTCATGTAGCATTTAACAAAAGCTACAAGCTATCCGCCACCCGCTACCAGCTAATTTTGCCGAACACGCCCTTAGTATTTTGGTAAAAGTAGCTAGAAGCTTTTTGAAATATGTAAAATTACATTAAAGGACAATTATTTAAAAATATATATATATATATATATATATATATTATATATATATATATATATATAAGTATATTTCTAAGGATAATTATGAAATTGATTTCAAAAGCTCAATTTTTTGTTAAACGCTATGGGCATGTTCGGCATGGAGCTTTTGGAAGCGTTTGAGAGCTTCTAGCTTCTAGCGTTTGACAAAACGCTCCGTTTTTAACAGAAAGTCTTGTTTGGCACTACAAGTTTCTAGCGTTTAGTTTAAACAAAACGCTTCAAATCCAAATGCTACTTCATGTAGCGTTTAACAAAACGCTACAAGCTACCCGCCACCCGCTACAAGCTACCTGCTAACAGCTAATTTTGCCGAACACGCCCTATATGAAGTAGCTTTTAGATTTGGAGCGTTTTGTTTAAACTAAAAGCTAAATACTCGTATTGTCAAACGGAGCTTTCTGTTTAAACTAAAGTGTTTTGTCAAAAGCTAAAAGCTAGAAGCTCTCAAATGTTCGTATTACCAAAAGTCAACCCAGGTCAACAAGTCAACGGTCAGCATCACCATCAGTTGACCCTCATGTCATGACCAGCCCATGGTCACGTCGTGAGAAACACACTCGGCCCAATTAGGGATGAGTATAGGCGGGTACCCTCCTCATTTTGCGAGAACCGGAATTGGAAACGGAACCGGCGGTTCCTAGAAAGTTAGAACCGGAACCGGTCTAGGCGGTTCTTACTTTTGGAACCAATCCCGGAACCAGCGGTTCCGGTTCCAGGACCATATAACCCGGTTACATCAATATTTGTTTACTTTTGTCAATAAAAACCGCAATTTAGTTCGGTCTAAATCGAATCAATTTGAACCAACGACAGATAAAATCAGATAAATATATTCTAAACCGGTCTAAAAAATACTACACACATTTTTTTGAATATCAAACTACAACAAGATGCTTTAGTAATGTTAAGGCTTTAAGGTAGATACATTGTTTATTTTATATTTTCCGATCGTGTATTATAAACCGGTTACGGCGGGTACCCAACGGATAGCGGTTCCGAAAAAATGAGAACCGGAACCACTTAAGGCGGTTCCATAACTTTAGGAGCCGGAACCGGAACCGCTTAAGGCAGTTTCGGTTCTGGAACTGGCAGTTCCGGTTCCGAAAGCGGGTACCCGGTTGCAATGCTCATCCCTATGCCCAATCCCAAACTTGATCACGATCCAACTCAGCCAACTTAGTATCGACCAAATATATCATCACGTCATGATGATCATGCCATCACGTCGTGACATTTATCAGTCCAAAACAATCGAGAAATCCCTCGTCGTCACGTCGTGACGAGGAAGCTGTAGCGTCGTGAAGACGGGCTTTCTCAGCTTAATGGATTCAGCTCTCAATCCATTAAGTCATCCATCTAATCCTTCCAGAAGGTTTTCTAACGTCCATTACCACCTAAAGATTATTGCTTTTCAGTCATGCATGTCCATTGTGAATCTAAAGCTCACATTAGGTTAGAAATGGAGAAACATCACCAAGGATCTCATGCATAGGCTCAATATACTAGCAAAATCCATATCTAAGCCATATGATATACAAAGGACCTCAAGAATCCATAAAGTTGCCAACTTTATGGAATCTCACCATTTCAACTTGCTCAAACTTGAAAATAAATGAACAAAAGCTTAGATCTAGTAGCCTAGAGTAATAAAGTTTGGGTCTTAAACACTTACAAAGGTCCAGAGATGCCCAAATGAAGTCCCAAAGTTTCCAAATATGCTCACAACACTACCAAGGCCTTCTTTTCCCTTCAAAAGCAACCAAAAACACCAAGGTGAGCTCAAAAATGGAGAAGAATGATTAGGGTTTCTTCAAGAGGGCTTTGGAAGTGATGGAGGTTGACGGTAAAGGATATCATGTCCCCTCACTTCCTTTAAATTGGGTCCATGTCCGAAAATTAGGGTTTTTCCCTCATCGGGTTTCACGTCGTGATCATCATAGTGTCACGTCGTGACACTTAAATGACACTCCCAAGGTAGCATTATTCACCTTAGAGATCCTTTTGGATAGATCATTTGAGATTATCAGTTAGGATTAAGGAGTGAAAATAATGGGAATGGGTAATCGGATTAATTGATTGATATGAAGCATATGATTATAACAAATTAAATATTATGGGTTGAAAATCCATGTGTACTCACCAGGTTTCCCAACCTGACCCACTCAGTTTATTTGAATCGCAGGTAATTAAATAAAAATACATGGATAATAATGTATGTATCTGTTGAGAGATTCAAGGAGATGTACATTGTTAGTATGTTGAGACTTTGTAAATCTCCGTTTATGCTTATGTTTCTTGTATCAGTTATGGCATCCCCAACATTAATAAATAAATGGAAACATTTCTTCGGAAATACTTTTACGGGACCAAATTCCGCATTAATGAATAAACTTTGTATTAAATAAGCATAAATAAAAGGTTTTAAATTAACCGTTAAAATGGGGATGTCACACATTGCACCTTCACCAAGCCCATTACCTTGTTGTGTAAGGTCTTCATCTTCCTGTCGAGAATCGCAATCGGTCTCTCTACATAATTCAAGCGCTCATCAACCTGAATTTTGTCCAAGGTCACCACTACAAAATCATCAACCCAAACATTTCCGTAATTGAGAGACATGGAAAGTGTTATGGATCTGACTAAGCTCATCAGGGAGATCCAACCGATATGCAACCTTGCCCAATGAGGTGATAATCATAAAGGGACCAATATACCTGGGGCCCAACTTTCCCCACTTTCGAAACCGGATGACACCTTTCCAATGTGACATCTTCAGAAGCACAAAATCTCAGACCTGAAACTCGAGGTCTAAACGTCAACGATCAGCATAACTCTTATGGCGACTATGTGTGGTCTGCAGTTGATTGCACTTGTTGTATCAACTCAGTGGTCTTGAGTACTACCTCAATAGTCCCCATAACTAGATGCCCGACCTCATCCCAAAAAAATTGGGGTCCGACACTTCCTCCCGTAAAGCATCTCGAATAAAATTCATAGCGATCTCTTCCCACTTCCACATGAGAATTGGTGACGACTACATTTTTTTGTGGGGTCTCTGATGTTCAGCCTTGAATTTCTGGAAAGTCAAGCACCGGTCCCCAAACCTGATGGATTTTATAGTTTACAAAACAATGTGCTTGCGGAATTTCACTTAACGCTAAGAGCACATGCAACCTAAAGGATCTATGTCTCACACTTTGAATGCAACATACTATGAATAACAAAACTAACATAAACCCTAATGAAACCCTAGTATAATCAAAATACAATAACTAGGATTAACATACCTTTGATTTGTTGTAGCAAACAAATCACTTCAATCCCTTATATTCGTTGGTCTTGGAAAGCTTAGCACCAAAAGGATGATGCCTCTAATGGCTCACACCCAAAACCAGAAACGCTAGAATGAGGAGGAGAGAAGAGATATGAGGGAAATTTCGTTCATATGCTTATATGTAATGTCATGAACAAAATTTGCAAGCCAAAGGGTCCTATTTATAGTTTAGGTAACTTGTAGGCAAAGCAAGATTTGAATTGATTAAATAATAGATTTAATCCTAATTCAAATACTTTCATTTTATGCAACCAGGAGGCTTCCAAAAACCCTAAAAGAGCTCCCAAAACCGTCCATGCTTGGATGGTTCTAGAATTGCCTCTTTTGTTCAATTATTGAACAATTACAATTCACCCCTTGCACCTTTAATAAATTCCAATCAATCCCGAATTAATTCCAGATTAATTCTAATTCATAATTAATCAATTCTAAATGATTTCACATTAATTTATTAATCATATAAATTAACAAATCAATTATTTAACATTTGGTCTCATATTAATTTATTAATCACATAATAAATGAACAAATCAATTGTCTATTTCCATTTAATATATTAACCATATAATATTAACAGATCATTTATTATAATTTATTAATCATATAATAAACTAATAAATTTATATTTTCTTTACAAATGTCATTCTAATCAAGTTCTAGTTATGAGGGCAATCCAAAAAGGACTTTTTCTACTAATTACAAGAATATACCAATTTAGTTATGAGCTTAGACAATTTAATACAACAGTCTACTACTTGGATAAGTCTATAACTACAATTGCATGTGTAACCTTGAACCAAACAGCAACGTGTGCTTTCCAAAGCCACCGTCGAACTCTGATTAAAATCAAATGTTGGCCTTAAGATAAGTGATAAGCTATTTCTTCGTTCTACAAGATACCGTACGAACAAAGTCATGGATTAAATGATTAACCTCATGTTCATTTGTTTTGTTTCCCGATTTCCTGATTTGTGATCAAATTCAGACTACAAAATCGAGCACATCAATTTAGTCCGAACTAGGCCTAGTTCTTCTAGATCAACTCAAATCACCGAGGGACCCACAGTATCGCTTTTCACATTAAGGAAAAA